AACAGTTAAGGATGTGTGTGTAAAAGAACCGCACTTAGCAACGAAATACAGATATAGGCACACAAGTAAATCGTTCATTTATAAGTTATATATGTATGTACATACATTCATACACAAAACATATAGCCGGTCTATATCCGAAACCAAGTAGAAATAAAGCTTAAAGGCAACGAAATGGCATGTAAGTGAAAACGTGTCTCGCATCAAAAAGTTGTGCGTAACTAAAGCGTAAAAGAGTATGGCTACACATGTATATGTAAATACTTATTCTAAAAATGGGAAGAACGCAAATTTATATTCGAAAAAATCACGCAATATTTTTTGCTACCATATTAAATTAATATGTATGTAGTATGTTGCCTAGACATATGGGTGCTGCTTAGATGTATACACATACATATACATATGTATATACGTACACGCATTAAACGCTCCTTTGCTATATGCACGTGCTTTCAATGCTCACTCATACCCACTTTCCTACTTTGTAGCAAGAGCAAATTGTGTTCATTAATACAACCTTTAGTGGTATTTATTTATTAATAAAGTTTTGTTGTTGTTCGTTTGCTTCGAGCGGCAACTAGTTGAACATTGAAATTCAATTTACACGTACATATGTACGTACGTTTAATATTTTCGACTTTCTCTGTTTGGCGCCGCTATTTTTGTGTTCATATAAACTTAGCATTTAGTTGTATGTACATATCTGTGTTCGTATGGAAAAGTAGCTTATGTCGAAAGGTTGGCTTTAGTATAAATCGGCATTCGCAGCATACGATTGCGAATGACTCACCGGCTCTAAGCCGTTGAAAAACTTTTGGCAAATAAACGTGCAAGAAATAGTTCCGATACTAGCAAGTCAATATTCTTGTTAAGTCTCATCCAAAAATTCCGTGTTGTTTAAAGAATAAAGTGAATGCCGTATTATACTAAAGCCAGCCTTTCGACATAAGCTACTTTTCCAAACGAACACAGATATGTAAGATGAAGATGAAGATGAATATACAAATTTTTTTCGTTTAGTTTTAGAAACTTATTTCATTTTTTACTTTTTTAAAATTAAATTTGTTTTAATTTTTATACTTTATTTATTTAGCAAGAAAAATACACATTTTTATATTGAAATAAATTTAATGTACTTATTAAATTTTATCGTTTTACTCTTTTAAAAGAAAAACTTAATTTATTAATTTTTTCTTTTTTTTTAATTTTAATTTTTCTTTTAACTTAAATTTTATGTAATTTAATTTTCAGAAAACTAAAAGTTGTTGGCAGTTCTTTCAAGTAGTATTTCGAAAGACAGAAAAGAGTTTTCAAGATCATGGCCGGAATTGTCTTTCGAACGGCATTTGTCTTTCGACAGACTGTGGCGAGTTGAAAGACAGTCTCCAGAATTGCCTATTAGTCTAGGGTTCTTCTGGTCTAACCAATGAATTTTTTCCGTACACACAATAAATTACCACACATTTGATACAATAAGTTCTAAACTTATTTCCCTTCTTCACCTTGGTCGCATACAAAATATTATGAGAATTTCACTGCAGCTAGCAAGTATGAAGCTTTAGTATCGTATCAATATCAACCGCTTTATTTTCATTGTGTTTACTTTCAGGTCAAGTTGTTTGATATTTTCTGCTAAACCAGCTGGCAGCAGCAGATCGATGCAAGATTTTTTCTTTTTTTTTTTAATTTTCCATTCATGCAACTTGAAGACAGCAACAAAGGATTATACTCTTGAAGTTTACTTGTGCGAGCACAAGAGTTTACTTGCCAACAAAGTTGCTTACGAAAGAAACGCTTACCTGATGCTGGTGCGCGACCAGTATGTATGTAATGAATGTGAACGTAAAACTTCAGCCATAAACTTGTATACACAAGTGGGGAGCCAAAAATATAAAGTTGGTAAATGATGTCAGTAGGTAAGCTCAATTTGTACTTTGTTGCAGCCTTCATGATGATGCTTTCGACTTTAATGCTCCTCTATATGAACGAGCGTGTTGGTATGTATTCTGGTTGCAAGCCTTTTTATAATTATAAGTACTTATTAAGTAAGAGTCACTTCACTTATTTTGCTATCAGTGGTAAGCCAGAATTTTGGGAAGGGAGGGATTCATATAAAATTTGGCAATTTTTTTTTAGCTTTTGTAGAAAGATATATGTAGATTTGGAACATATATTTTGAACAGTACAAGATGAAAGCAGAAATATTTGGCTTTTAGCTCGACGTAAAAAATTGCATTCCTCAAATATGAGGCTTTAAAACTTGTTTTCGAAAATGGCAATATAATTTTTTTTTTTATCATATTCAATTTACCTGTAAAATGGTAAAAAAAATTTGTGAATAACTTAAGAAATGTAAGCACGTTGAAATTTTGTATATTTTGGTCCTGCACTCCAAAATACTCTTTCGTAGAAAAATAAATCCCATATTTTGTAAAAATTTTTAAATTTTGTAGAATTGGAAACTTATATCTTAAGAAAATAGGTTGTATTCGCCTTTTTACTTAATAAAAAAAATTTTGATTTTGTAAGTAATATTTGCGGAACCAAATATTTTTATGTGTTTGAATAAAAGGACCACATTTAAGCTTTCTTTTTATGTTGTTAAAAGAAAACAAAATAAAAAAAATACAAAAAAAAAATAAGAACGTGGTGATAAGTATCTACATTGCTCCCATTTTTACTATGATGATGATTTAGACCTATGACCGACTCTGAGTAATAGAAGAAATTTTTTATCTGCATCTTTTACGCTTGATATTATTTTTGTATCGAAAATTTCATGTCATTGCCTAAAATTTCGACTCGACTAGTGGATAAAAACGGAAAAACTTGGCAGCACTGCATAATTTCCGACGAATTTCGTCGTTTGCTTCTTTCAACACGACAGTAGACAATGCCTAATTTACGACTTACACAATGAGGCTGTTTATTGGTTTCTATAACACACTGGCCTGTATATGTATTAGACTATAATGAAATAAATATTAGTGTCTTGTTAGCCTCCGCTTGCAACTATTAAGGTTCGGCGCTTTGGAATGAAGTTACACAGTTCTTTATTTCGAATGCTTAAATATTAATCTTCAAAAACACATTTACATATTTACTAAATTGCATTCTCATGCCGCGCGTCTAACTTTACTTTGATCATTACTTCCGCACTAACCATTGCGCCGCAAACGTATACTGGAATGCACGTAACCGCTGAAAAGTATATCTCGTTCATAAATAAAATCAAACCATGTCTTTAAATCCGTTTCGAATGCGATTGCTGGAATTGAATTCAAATCCAAGTGAAATCCACGCAAGTAATATAGGGTGTCGCGCTTGTATGGACATTTGTTCAGCAGATTCCCGTAACGACTCATCGAGCTCACCACCAATTGCAAGATTGGCACTTGATTTTTATTTGCCATAAATTCGCAGCCCTTGATGCGTGTCATATTGATGAGCACAAAATCTTCGGAGCTTCTTGGCATTACGACAAGAATATTGATGCTGAAGTAATTCAAATCCCGTTTAAATTGCATCTCCGTGGAAATGCTGCTCCGCTTCGTATTCTTACTAATAAAACAAGACACTTTGGCGACATAACCTTTTGGATCTATAGTAGTACAGTTGAACCCTTTATAGGTGATGTCAAAGTTGCTCTGCAGGCGAAATGAATTTGAATTAAGCGATAATATTAATTTCAATTTAATAAAAATCTATTGAAAAACGTACCCTCGAATGCACATTTTGTATTTTAAGTAGAAACAAAGCCAAAAAAACTGGTAAGAGCAGATATTCGAAATGCTTCATTTTTGCAGGTTGATTACTGAGTGAGCAATTCGCTCTAATCACATAAACGTGCCGATAAAAAAATATGTTTATTGATTTCGGCGTTCGCATTTACACTGCGTACAAAAATTCTTTTGCCCAATTCCAAATTTGCTGAGTTTCTCACAAGCTCGAGAAAATAATTTTATTTTATTGATTAGTTAGTTTCGAAACCATCAATTTTTATTTTAAGATAAAACTAAAGGGCCCTTTTTCTTCACATTTGCTTTCGAATTGTCAATTTTTCTCCTTTCTAAGCATTTTATTCACGATGCGGTTGGTCTACAGTAATTTACTGTCTTGAAATCTCTTTCCTGTCTTTCGAAAAACTAACTGAAAGATCTGCTAACGAGCGTTATTCTTTTTGCCTTTTAGCAATAATTTGTCTGAAAATTAAATTAAATAAAAAGTATATTTTTCTTTCTAAAGCAATAAAGACTAAAAATTAAAAGCAATTGAAATTTAAAAATACATAAATAAAATAATCGAGACATAAATTAAGTTTTTGAAATT